AATGATATAATTTACCAATAAACTTAATAAAATCAGTCTTATTACTTAATATAATTTCGATACTGTTATCAAAGGCGGATTTATATGCTTGGCTATGGTATCACATGCAACCATAGATTTGGTTGCACGAAGTGTAATTTTTTAAACTTTGTAACAGTAACACCGTGGATTATCAGGTTTGACTGTGTGAAACCCATAACTGTTGAAAGGATAAGGGTCTATGTGTAAAATTTATAAAGATATTTATTTGGTGCAATCACTTCGAAAATTTTCCTGGATTCGCCTCTCTCTTTATAACATGTATGTATGTCAAATTAAAAAGAATAAAATGATCGTTTTTTTTATCTGATTTTGATTATATTTTGCAGAATTTTGATTAAAAAGCAGGGTATACTTTTTATTTTAAAAAAGATGATTATAACCATTTTTTCAATAATATCCTTTACATCATCTTAATATAACGGTTTGGATAAGTTCTCTGGCTATTTCTAGACTTTTTTTTTTCTTCTTATACACACACACACACACACACACACATATATATATATATATATATATATATATATATACTTGAGATCACGTGAGACCAACCTGTTTTCGTGAGACCTGTGAGACCATTTATTTACACTTGAAATTTGACAACAAACGTTGTGAAGGTAACATTCACAGTGTTTTTGCTGTGAATGTTCGACTCTTTTTTTTACCTTCACAACGTTTTGCTGTGAAGTTTCAACTGTAAAAAAGTGGTCTCACGAAAACAAGTTGATCTCACATGGAAAACAATTCATTAAGTAAAGAAGGAACATTTTGTTGAATCATTTGAATTGATGTGTGAGGGTGATGGAAGTTAGAATTATAAATGAAAAGAAGAAGATGAAATAATGGTGGATGATGGGAATTAAATTTGAGCCAATGAAAAATGAACCAAAACATATTATTATGGTCAATGTCACATTCACCAAATCACCAAAATCATCATAACACAATTGACATCCATTGCATTCATTCTTGCATCAACCCACTTTCAAACTTATGTTATGCATCCCACCTTTTACTTTTACTTTCCCATACATTATTTAGTCTTTTTCTATAACCATATTTGAATTCAAATACTGTGTTTTAAAGGATTCTAATTTTATATCAGTCAGAAACACAACATGTTAAGTCGACAACCAGTCAGTTAGACAATTCTTGGTCGATATACAAGAGAAATCAAGTCAGAGAGAGATCTCTACAGATGGTTACATCTACGTACACGTTCTCATTCTCTATTGCCTAACCTATATGTAATCAATATCGCCATCCTGGTAAAAAAAGGGCTCAAACCCTCGTATAGAGAAACGTGTTTTTCTTAAAAGAATCTCATAAAATACACCGTCTTTTTTTTTCCACTGGTCATTATGATGGTCAACGTGAGTAAGAGGATCAGTTTTTCCACATCCGTTCCCTTTAGAGCTCTAATCACTTATGTATCAGTAGACATCTATTTTCTTGCACAACTTAAAAACAAACAGTAACCCGTGAAACAAAAGAGATAGAATGTCAATATCAGTTTGAAAAACAAGATGTAACTGATGATTTTATCAGATTTTCTTCTTCGTATAAGACGATTACAACGTATAGAATATAACAGTTCTGAGCTGTTATGCATGAAGATATATGTTATGGTAACAACATTTGTGTGACAAAATGCCAAATAAAATGCATATTTAATTGATTTGTTATGTTGGGACAACTAAGAAGGGAACATGCAAACAACACATGTAATAGAGACCAAGGGTTTTTTTTAGTAATGCTAGTGGAACCTTCACCAAGGTAGTAGAGTGGTAGTGGGCTACATGGGAGGATTTGTTGGAGGATTTCCATTTATTTTAAAAAAGATAAATTAATTATATTTATAAAAAAAAATGTATTTTGTTTTTAAAATGCGTATTATGTATTTGATGCGATTAAAGGAACGTACTGTAACAACTCATCTTACATTGATAGAGAACGAGATTTGTGAGCACCTTATAAGCTTCAAGTTGTGAGTTATCAGTAACTTCATTATAGTTTTAAGTTGTATTTGAAGTTATTGAGCCAACATGGTGTTTTGGGATTTGGAGGATACAGATGATGATATCATAGACGAATAAATTATTCTTGAAAAAAAATAGTTACACTTTTTTTGTTTGAGATGTTTGTCATTAACAACAAAACAAAGTTTCTAAGGGGGTGTTTGGTTAGAGGTATTAATCAGTAATCAATGAGAATGAAAATAAAAGAAACTGTTTGGTTTTCTATAACAAAATGAGTTCATTCCTCTAGGAGTCCAAAATTTCATTCCTGGTTAAACGGGAGTGAATGAAAATTCATTCCCATTTTCATTCCTCAGTCTGAGACAAACAGACCCTAAGAGTAGATTTTCCAAAATAAGAATCAGAATAAAATTTGTTTCATTTTAATTACAATTTATGGTATTAAATAAAAGACTGAGAAGCCACATGTTGCTTGAGAAGTGGTAGAGAATCATATATATATTTATATAAAAACTTAACTTTATGTATTTTATACAGACTTTTTTTGTTTTTATCTTTAAACTGTATAAGATATACTTGAATATGTTCAGGGGACAAAACAAATTCTACCACATGCACACAAAAAAGGGACAAAAGCATGAACAACGATCAACGACATATGAAACTATACATAATCTTGGTTTCATGGGTCGATTTCTTCCGAATGCTACAAGATCCTATATTCAAGTAAATCTAATCATGGGTCTTTTAAATTAACCCAAAAATTGCATATCTCTACAGCTAAAACCAGTTAATTCACAGATTTAACAGATCGTGTTTCAATACATCGTTGGTTATTCTAACTCTTGAAAAATGCATTTTACCTCGGTTATCATATTGGGTTGGGACCAAACATTGGTTTTGGTTATTTGAAGACAAAATTCTTGAACAAATGGCAAGTGGTAAACAAGATGCATGAATTCTTGCATTCTTTAATTGGAAAAGTGATAGGTTTAATACTAATTCATCTACAAAATCTCCCAAACCCCAAAATCATATGAATTGGACCCTTTAAGGCATGCAATGTTAATGCCCACAACCCAATGAAATCCCCTTCATGTTGCATACTTAACTTCCCAATAAACATTCCAAGTCCAAATGCATCCATCTCAAAAGCACACTCTTCCACTTCAGTATGTGTAGAAAGTCATCTGATTCAATTGTAATCGACTGATTAATACTACAAAAGGTTGAAAACTCTTGTGAGCAGTGGCGGATCCAGGAATTTTGTTCAGTGGGGTCACCTTTAAGGTAGACTAAAGGCCCGCAAAATCGTCTGATATGTTTTTAACCTAATTACAATGTTTTGAGGGATTTTTAAAGTTTTTTGGTTGATTTTGAGGGATTTTTTTAGTGTTTTTGTCGATGTCAAATAACTTTTTTTGATTGATTTCAATAGATTTTTTTGGTTAGAGTAATGGTTTCGATTGGGGTTGGGGGCCCGTGTAAAAATTAATGGGGAAAAGTGAAAGGTAAATCATATAAAACCTAAAATTTAACCTAAGATTTTTTTTTGAGTTTTTGACTGGAGTCCCTTCCCCCCTTCCTTTTTGCTGTTGCATCCTCCCCTGCTTGTGAGAATCAAACTTAACGTATTGTTTCACATTAATGTGTTTTTTATTTATTTAAGGATAAGATCTTAAGGTGTTGATTCACATGTATTTGTTTCATATGGATTTGTTTTTTATTTAAGGATAAGATTTTAAGGTATTGGTTCAGATGTATTTGTTTTACAATGTGAACCTTTTTGAGATGTATCATTTGTTTCACATTGTGAAACAAATCCATACGTAACAATATCTTAAAATTCTAGATGAAACGCTTCATATGAAATAGTACGTTAAGATTGATTCTCACAGGTTCTCAACCTTTTATGTTTAAGTTATTAACCATATATATATATATATATATATAGAGAGAGAGAGAGAGAGAGAGAGAGAGACGATAGATCTTTTACAAACTCAACCATTGGTACAAACCATATAATTCAATTAATTGAGATATTTATAGATATAATGAAAGTTTATTTATTATTTTTTGATATTTATGAAAGACTACAATAGTTCATTTATCAAACGAAGTCTCCTCCTAAATCCACTCCAGAAGTCACGTCTTTCAGTACTGGATGTTTGTTTTACATTATTAGGAAACAATCAAGACATTCATTATACTAGATAAATGGTAGAGAACTATTTATACTAACAGTTGATCTTGTAAATAGACCACCTACACACACACACATATATATATATATATATATATATATTTTTTTTTACAAACCCAATAAATTGTATAAAACTATAACCATTTTCATGTATTGTTTCACGTATGAAACAACACATATGAAAATACAATATTTATATGATATTGTTTTATATATAGAACGTTTAAAACTGTTATGTGTATAGAAAAAAATGGACTCTCTATGTGTGTATATATATGTATATATATATATATATATAGTAGTTGCATTTTCGAGGTTACCCATCAGAAGAATTTCTCTTTCCTCCCCCTCCCTCTTCTGTATACATGATTTACATATGACTTTCATTTCATTCACTTGAAGTTTCCCCTTTCAGTTTCTTTGCCATCATTTTCCATATGTTCCCTGCAAACACACACACACACACAACCACTTGATGTAAGAGAGAAAAATATATATATATAACTCAAAAGAACCCAATTGGATCAAACCAAAATGCACAAAAACTCCCATTTTTATTCATAACCTCAGATTCAACATAACCTCTCTCCTTTCCTCTTCTATTTCTGGGAATTCATAATAACCCAACCTCTTCTTCTCAAGATCCAATTTTTTTCAATACCCATTATTTCTTTTGTAATTTTAATTACTGGGTATTTATAATATATATATATATATATATGTATGTATGTATATGTATATGTATGTATATGTATGTATGCTTATGAGGTTGTGGAACAATGAGGGATGAAATCTGCAAGAAAAACAAGGTTTGTTTCCATCAAAATGCACTTCTTTATCAACATCTAATCTTGAATTGTGTGAATGTTTTCAAGAATTTGAGTTTATGATGGTGAAGGTTTCATGGCCTAAAACACTCAAGAAATGGTTCAGTGTCAAGAACAAAGCACAAGATTTCCATGCAGATGACTTCAATTATGGAGGTAGTTTTCTTCTATCATTACAATCTCATTTAGGGTTTCTTTTTTCCTCTTTCTGATAAAGGTTATTTACCAAACATTTACCCGGTAAGTGTTTATCGGTAAAATTTAACACCATCATTTACTTACCGAGTAAGATGTTAGTCCATCAAAACAACATGGTGTGCAATAATTTACCCGGTAAGCGCTTACCATGGTAAGAATCGTCCCCCTTACTTAGTTCTTGTCTCGTTCTTACCAGTTAAGACTCTTGGTCCTTACCATATTCACCAGGTAAGATGATGTGACTTGATAAACGCTTACCTAAATAAGTGTTTGGTAAACAACTTCTTAATTAATACCATTAAAAAAATGGTTTCATAATCATTAGAAGGTTATAGAATTAATTAAAAATTTATTTAAAGTTATATACTAAACAGATCAATTGACTCACTATTTGCTTTATTTCTACATCAATCAGTGTTGTTTAAATTCTTCAGTAAAAGTAGCATTTGGAATCTCAATGACCATTTGCAACTTTTTCTCTTTGCTGCTTAAAATCTCTTCTTTGTTTCTTCTTCCCTCAAAGATTTTGCATTTTCATCCCTAAATTTAACTTCCCCTTGTGGCCACGGAGGTTCAAATGCGATGACTCTGGGTTACCCACGAAACGGGTGGCTGCCCTGAGATTAATCGACTCAGATAGCGAGTTGGATATCTAGGTTAATAGAAAACAAATAAACTTAAAAACAATTATGCTCAGTATAAAATGGAACTTTCCTTCTCTTTTCCGGTACTCTTGAAAAATAATCTAATGGTTTCCAGATATTTTCACATGGTATAAAAGCCAATGCCACAACTTTAAACAACGTGTGACATTTGGTTTGACGGAATGTTTTAAGGGTACTGTAACGAGTTTATGACATATTTTAACATGATATCAGTAGTTTTTAAAGTAACACATTTCTCAAATGGGTTCCTTTTTCAGGTGGATATGAAGGATGGAGGAACAATTTCTCAGAAAAAGAAGCATCATCCACCATCAAGAAAAGCAGAAGAACAGGTGCCATTTTCATACTATTTATTGCTTTGGGACCGCAATCAAATCAAACGGTTTTTTTTTAAATAAAAAAACTATTAAACTTTTTTTTTAAAATAAATAAATTATTGAACTTTTACTAGTCGAACTTTTTTTGGGTTAAAAGAATGTAGGTAACCAATTTTTAAAAATACGATGGTTTATTTATTAAAAAACTGTTCAGAGACTTGATCAATCAAAATGAGAAAATTTATGGTTTTTTCATTCAAAAGAATAGTTCCGGACTTGATCATTTAAAATGAGAAAGCTTGATAGTTTTTTCATAAAATAAAATAGTTCAAGGACTTGATCATTCAAAATAAAACAGTTCGTTGGATTTTTTGAACTTTTCCCTTTAATTTCTCATGATCATAACTTCAAATATGTTGATCATTTGATGTAACAGAAAGATCGAGCGAGACGAATGCGGATTTTCTTCGAACAAATAAAATTGATCCCGATCTTGCCCAAGTGATCAAGGATGTTAATAACTATAGGTTTGTTTAAACCTCAACTCAAAATGAGAAGATAATCAATTTGCGAAAAGGCACTACAACAAAATTGGGTTTACATGACATTTTTATTGAACTTAATTTATAGTACCAAAAAATAAAGCGTCCAATTTATGAGCGTTATAATAAGTTTATAGGACTCTTTTGGATATCTTTAAAAGTTTTTTAGAACAATTTTAATACAAAAAATTGCATTAGCATTTTTATAGTTCAGTATATGAAAAAGTGTCGCATAAAAAGATGAGTTTAGTGACACTTTCTCAAAAGTTTCCTATAAAATTACTAATGTGACACTTAATATTAAAAATGTTCTAAAAAATTGTTAAAATGTCCAAAAGCGTTCTATAAACTTATTACAACGCCTATAGATAAGACACTTTATTTATTGTCTTATAAATTAAGATTTACAAAGCAGTCTATTAGGACGCTTAAAATTAGTATCGTCCTATAAACTTAGTTTTGATTATAGTGAAGTGAGATGTTTCAAGTCACATATGATACAAACAGTGTGTTGACCGACCATGTACAGTAGGACGACCTTGTGTTGACCAAGTCGCGAGTGTCTCTTTTGGACTTGTTGCATCACATGTGATCTTGGAATTTCCCGTCTTCTCGTAAATCGATTGACTTTTCGCATGATCCCGTCTCTTGTGTTTATTACGAGCCTTCTTATGGTTCAGTTTATATGTGATTGCTTTCGGAATTGAATAGGATCTTCGTAGCTACGTGGAATGTGGCGGGAAAATCTCCGACGGGTAGTTTGAATCTTGAAGATTGGTTAGACAGTTCACCTCCTGCCGATATCTACGTTCTTGGGTGAGTTTTAGACCCTGTTTGACAATCATAAGTTAGCTTATTTTCTATGAAAAGAACCGTTTGGTTTGGTTGGAAATAAGCTGGTTGATAACGTTTCAATAAGCTTCACAGACTTTTTACCACTTTTTTCCAATTTAGTTTTTCAACATGTCTTTTTAGATTATTTTACATTGTCATCTAGCTTATCAGTTTGCTCTTTTTACCATATATTCTTTTACCAACATGAATAGTTTATCAGTTACCTTAACTACCTTATCAACTATTTTGCCAAACATAGCATTAGTTCGAAAAAGAAGTTTGAGAATATCAATCGTGTTCGTCAAATGTGACGCCTTAATTTTCTTATCGCTTGTCGAGAATCAGGTTTCAAGAAATCGTCCCTCTAAATGCCGGAAACGTACTCGGAACAGAAGACAACGGCCCGGCTAAAAAATGGCTAGCACTCATTCGGAAAACGCTAAATAGTCTTCCGGGAACCAGTGGCGGATTTCAATTCCATCCCCCTTCACCAATTCCCGATCCGGTAATCGATTCAGATTCAGATTTTGCAGGATTAGTAGCGCAAAAAACCTCATCTTTCCTCCACCGTCGTTCTTTCCAATCACTTAGCCGCAGCATGAGGATGATGGAGAGCGATATGGCAATGCCAAATCTCCGATTCGAGCACCGATATAGTATCTGCGATCCCATTGATTATGATCGGAGCCTAAGATGGGGTATCGGGTCTTCAGATGAAGAAAACGGGCCGGATGGTTCACCTAGTAGCATAAATTACTCGCAAATACCGTATAGCGGATCTTTCTCGATGGAGGAAAGAGATAAACAAACGGAAAACTCTAGGTATTGTTTGGTAGCGAGTAAGCAAATGGTCGGGATATATTTAACGATATGGGTAAAGAGCGATCTTAGAGATAACGTTCGTAATATGAAAGTGTCGTGTGTCGGTAGAGGATTGATGGGTTATCTCGGAAATAAGGTTCGAATTTTTTTTACCTTCACACTACAACAAAATTGGCTTTATAAGAAAATAAAATATATCTAATGTCATTACTCATTAATAGAATCAAACATATATGTGTTTGGAGGTATCTGAACAAGTTTTTTAGGACACTTTTGAAATAATTTTGTCTCATATTAGTTTTTCTATTAGACTCTAAAGCATCCTAAAAATCGTGTTAAAACGCCTGAAAACGTCTTATAAATATATAATAACGCTTTTAGATAGAACGCCTTATAGTTTGGTCCTATAAACCTAAATTCTATAAAATATTCGATTATGACGCTTAAATAATTTAGGCGTCCTATAAAACCAATTTTGTTATAGTGAGAGTGCGATTTGGAGACTAATGATATTATCGATCATTTCAGGGTTCAATATCGATTAGCATGTCGTTTGGTGAAACGAGCTTTTGCTTCGTTTGTAGTCATTTGACGTCAGGTCAAAAGGAAGGCGACGAGCTCAGAAGAAACTCGGACGTGATGGAAATCTTGAGGAAAACTCGGTTTTTAAGTCTTGAAGAGACGGGAGATGAGAACACTCCTCAAACGATTCTCGAGCATGAGTAAGGATGCAAGTTCCTATTGTTTGTACTCATTAATGAATGTTCTTGAGATGAAATCGAATACTAACGTACTTATGTTCGTTTTGCATGATTCTAGTCGAGTTATATGGCTTGGCGACTTAAATTACCGAATTGCCCTGTCGCACCGGTCTGCCAAGGCCTTGGTCGAGATGCGAAACTGGAGGGCTTTGTTGGAAAATGACCAGGCAAGTCTCGGAATCCAAAATTGAGTTTACATGACGTCTAAACTAATAACATGTTTTATAGGACTTAAGTTTATAGATCCAAACAATAAAACGTCTTATCTAAAAGTGTAACAAGTTTGTAGGACATTTTTAGACGTCTTAACAAGTTTTTAAGATGCTTTTAAAAATAAATTTTAAAAATAAAGTATCGTATAAAAAGACGTGTAACAGGAAACTTTTTAAATGTATCCTATAAAAACAGTTAATAGAACATTTTATTTCAAAAGTGTCTCAAAAAACTTGTTAAGACACTAAAAAACGTCATATCAACTTATTATAACACATTTACATATGACGCACAATTGTTCGATCAATAAACATAAATCCTCTGTTAATACACACACACGCGCGCGTACAAGCGCGCGCACACACACACACACACATATATATATATATATATATATATATATTTGACGTCCTATAAAGCCAATTTTATTATAATGAAAGTTTCAAACTTTCCGATGTTTTAGTGGCCAATTTGCGAAATGTTTAATTCTTTTACGCTTACAGCTTCGGATGGAGCGTAAAAGGGGACGCGTATTCGAGGGATGGAACGAAGGGAACATATATTTCCCTCCAACGTATAAATATTCGAACAATTCCGATCGATATGCAGGATACAATATGCATCCCCGAGAAAAACGAAGAACTCCCGCATGGTAAACAAAATCTCCGACCATTATTTTAGGATCGTCGATCTTCATTTTTTTTTCTTCAGATTCTTGATACTGTAGATTTCTTTTGAAGGTGTGATCGGATCTTGTGGTATGGCAACGGACTCCATCAATTGTCTTACGTTCGAGGGGAGTCGAGATTTTCAGATCATAGACCGGTGTACAGTATATTTCTAGCAGAAGTCGAATCTATTAACCGTAACCAATTCAAGAAGAACATTAGTTATTCTTCGAGAATCCAGATCGAAGAGTTGTTACCGTTTTCACGTAGATCGACTGAGGATTGACCGTGCGTATATATATATACATATAGTCGGTTGTGGCTAAGAAATCGACGGAAAAAATGGTGACGGAAAAAATGGTGACGGAAATGCCAAGTTGTTGCAACATTCCGAGAATAGGTCAATCCTTTTTCCTTTTCGCACTCGTCATTAAAACAAAATCGGCTTTGTAGGACGTAAAATATGTCTAAGGGGCCGTTTACCAAACGCTTACCCGGATAAGCGTTTACCAAGTCATATTACCCTACCGGATGAATGTGGTAAGGACCAAGAATCTTACCCGGTAAGTGAGGGCTACTACTCTTACCATGATAAACGCTTACCGGGTAAATAGTTGCATACGATGCCGTTTTGATGGACTAAAATCTTAGCTAGTAAGTAAGTGATATAGTGTTGAATTTTACCGGTAAGCGCTTACCGGGTAAGTGTTTGGTAAACAACCCCTTAAAATAAAGTGTCACATTAATAATACCATTTAAAAAAGACTAATAGGTTATACATAAAGTGACTTATTTAAAGTTTCCCTTAAAAGCTTACTAAATAAGTCATTTTTCATATCATTAATTCACTACCAAACATTGATGAACAAATAAAAGGTAAATAAAAAAGCCTTTACACTTATTTAATGTATATAAGAAATCAATTAAAATATAGAATTTAATTTGATGGTTTAGGTTTCTTGATTACGCACAAGTTGTGGATTTCACTTGTGATGGATGATTATTGGGCAGATAGACACAGAAACTCCTTGCCAGTCTGGTAATTATGATAGATTTCTGTTTTTTAGTAAAAATTATATGAAAAAGTCGTGTATGTTAACTTAATTCTTATTTTAGGTAATGTACTTTCAAAACTTTTATTTTAGTATTTAAGATGTAAAGTTTTAAACATTTAAGTATCCAGGTAACCGGTGTAATCGGTTGAAGCGTTAATTAGTACCATGCTGATGTGGTATCCAACTCAGTATTATTTGCTGACATGAATATCTTAATCTAAAATTAGTTTTTATGTATTGTGTTTTATTAAAAGAAATAGTTAATGCTTCAACCGGTTACTCGGATACTTAAATATCTAAAACTTTACATCTTAGGTACCAAAATGAAAGTTTTGAAAGTTATTACTTAAAATAGGTATCAAGTTAAAGTAACTTGCTTTTTTTTTTCAATTTATCATTTTTTTTTACATTAAAGTGTTAAAAAACATTAAATTTATTATGAAACGTGGATCATTTTTGCTTTTAGAATTCCAATCATATACAAACTTAATATTTTCATACAAATCAATTATCATGTATTGTTTTATATATAAAACATGTGTAAATATACAGTATAGACACTATATTGTTTTATATGTGAAACGTTTAGAACTATTTTACGTGTCGACATAAATAATCCTAAAAGTTTCAGATATGCAGCAACACTATATTTTTCATATGTAATCGTTTTATTTCATATATGAAACAACATATGATTGTAAGTTCATAGTAAAATCTTGGTCTGTAAAAAAATGAAACTCTTCTGCTTTATATCTGTTGAAACCTCTATTTTTTACAGGTTTTTAAAAAGAATAACCTGATAAGATTCTAGATATATTCTTACACAGTTATAATTTTGTGGGTTTTTTTGCAGGAGATTATCATCTTTATCTCCAAGCATTGATATGAGTAGGCAAGATTCTTCGGTTTCCTTCTTTTTTGTTAACAAAAAATATGATGTTAACTTTATTGGACTAATAAAACTAATTCTTTAATAGAGGTTACTTCAAATATTTGATTTAATGATGAAGGGCAAATAGCTAATTTTTATGTGGAAGTTACTTTTATGATATTTAATAAGATGTTACAAATTTTTATGTGTAAGTTACTTTTATGGTATTTAATGATGTTCATAAGAATGTTTTCATAACCATAAGGTATTTATAAGAATGTGTGAACCATGAGACATTCATAAGATTGCGTTCATAACCATATTGTGTTCAATAAAAAAATTTCAAAAATGTTTATATGTTACGATATTTTCCACAAATACCCTCTTATAGAATATGTTCGCCGATTATTTTTGTTCAAATTTTCATTTATTATAAATATGTCATGATTTAATCCATAGATTTCATAGATTAAGGGTTAAGATTGATTTACATAGTTAACACCAATTTTTGGGTTACAGAAGAGCCATCCTAATATATATATATATATATATATATATAGGTATTTTTTTCTAATTTCTATGATATTTTTAAATTTATATTTTATTCAAAACTAAAAACGTTATCGCTTTCTCAAAACCACTAAAAATCGTATTATATCGACAGAGACAAAGTATAAAACAAAACACTAAAATTGTGATAAATTTCACTGCATTATGCGAGCACCCTTCTAGTATATATTCTAAAGTACTAAGAAAAACCACATGATTAATGATATAAATTTTACTATTTCTTCTTATTTAATTATCCTTAATTAAGCGCAAACAATATCATTAAGAATGTTTAGATTATACGAAATTTTTGTACCTTCAGCCTAATCGTTATTTAAGATACAACCGATTTAAAATGCATTAGCATTAGATCATTTGATACGAAGCAAGAAAGTTACAAATTTAGTACAAAAAAAAAACAAATATGTGATATTTACCGAACAGATAAATGCAAAAATCAACATAGGATTGGTAACAAATGCAAACGAGATGATAATAAAGCAAATATGAACAAACAATTAACTAAACACGAGTTCCTGTTTGGTTTGATAGAATGTTTTTGAGAAATTTGAATTTCGTAGAATAATTTATAATTATAAGAATTTGGAATCTTCGATATATTTGGTCTGCAGGATTTTGAAATAGAATTCCACATCCATTCTTTAAATCTAATTTGTAAGAAAAAAAAACTAAAAATACTGATTGATCATTACAAAATTACTGTTTTTCAACTGTTTTAGAACATCGTTGTAAACAAATCCTTGTTTACAAGGAAATCTAGTAAACTGCCATTGAATTTCTAAATCATATTTAATGATTGTTTGTTCAACGCTTATTCAATAAGCACAAAAGTCGATATTTACATTTAACTTACATGATAAGATTTTAATTCATTAAAACGACATCGTATGCAACATTTTTATCCAATAAAAGTTGTTACCAGATAAGACTTTCGATCATTGTCATCGCTCTTACCAGGTAAGACTCGATCTTTTTCATGTTCATCTGATAAAATAAACTGTCAGTGGTTAAGATGGTGTTAAACATATTGAATCCAAATTTGACGTTTAATGAGTTTAACGTAAGTAATACAGAACCATAACAAGAACATAAATATAACTACAAATCTAAAATACTGTTGATAATACGAAAAGATGAACAGAAATACTAACAGTGATCTGAAGATTGTATGAAAAGATGAAGAACAGGTTGCGATCTTCAAACTCAGGTAAGAGAGATATTTGAGAGAAAACCTAATTATTTTGAGCTAAAACGAATGAATCGTATGAGATGAGACGGTTCACTTTTCTTTATATATCTTTTGTCTTGTACAGCTTTGCCCCTTCAACTTTGTAGACAATTGCTCCGCTAACCTTCATCTATTGTAGAAAGTGAGGCGCAGTCCTTGTTCTTTATGTCAACACTCATTCTTTTAATATTTGCATTATCTGCCCAACTCTGTTAACATATTGACAAACAAGGCACATTCAAAGTAAAGTCAGACAAGTCAAGATTGGATAATACATACATTTTAACACCCACCCTCAATCTTGACTTTTAAAAAGATCAATCATTTTTAATTTTGTGCACATATAATTGTGATGATTGATACTAAGAGCCTTGGTTAAAACATCTGCAGTTTGTTCGGAAGAGGGAATCTTTACAATTTTAATAACTCMTCTACTAATTTTTTCTCTAATATAGTGGATATCAATCTCAATGTGTTTTGTTCTTTCATGAAAGACAGGATTATTAGCAATTTGTATAGCAGATTTATTGTCACAAAATAAATTGACAGGTAACAGATTGTTTATATCTAAATCAGATAAAATTTTAAGAATCCAGACAATTTCACWTGACACAGCTGCCATTGCTCTGTACTCAGACTCAGCTGAGGAGCGTGAGACAGTGCTTTGCTTCTTGYTTTTCCAGGATATTAAAGAGTTTCCAAGAAATAAACAAAAACCAGTAACAGATTTTCTGGATAAGAGACACTTACCCCAGTCAGCGTCTACGAAAGCAGTTAGATTAAAAATATCTGACCTTGTAATGCTTATTCCTTTTC